TGCTGTGTTTTAAATTCACTTAAATTTTTTTCTCAATTTGCTTTCATATTATTAGGGGATTTAAAAAATAAGTTTTGATTTAATTTTGTTTTTATAGTAAACATTTGTGTAATTCAGAGTCAAATAGAATAGCAAGATATTCTTTAGTACTGACAAGTCATCTTCACTTCGAAATATGTTTAATAAACTTTTTTTTCAGAGAGAGGAAAAGTAAGAGTATACCTGAATTTTGCATGGCTTTTGATATGGAACTTAAGTTATTTGCCACATGTTACAATAGTAAAAGGATACTTTTTCATTTGAAACTCAGTTGAAGGAAAGGATTATTTTTTTGGTTGCTTACCACATCATCAGCCATAGTTCTTCAAATCACACTTAATAGCCAACAAATGTCTGTTCAATAACATGAATGAACCTTAAAGTAGTAGGATTTCTACAGGTAGAAATAGTTGCTTTAGAGTATTCTGGGCAGAAAAATGGAAAGGCCAATTCATGGGGACAAGAAAGTAAGAGATGAAAGTTTTTTTGGGGGGGGGGCGGTGGTGGTACTGGTGATTGATTCCAGGGCCTTGTGCATGGGATGCAAGCACTCTACCAACTGAGCTGTAGTCACAATTTAAAAGATGATATCTTTAACTGTCACTTTCCATTTCATATAATATTAAAATCCAGACTACCTATTATTTATATTATTACACAAGATTATTTTGTAATTAACTCACTTTTAGTACCTACCAAAAATAAATTACAGATTAAATGTTCAGAATCTTTGCTACATTGTTTGGAATGCTTTGTAAGGTAAAATGATTATCATACTGACATAAAATGAACACATTAAGATTTAATTTAATAAACTTCAAGAACCTATGTCACAGCTAGTTAAAAAGAATTGTCAAATAAACACAAATTTATATGAAGTAAAAGAACATTGAAATGAATTTACAAAAGATAGAAGATTTTTTTCTATGAAGAGCTGTCTATTGAACCTCTGCTAGATTGAATCTGTAATATCTTGATGTCAATAGAAGGCTAGAATCATACTTTATATAGGAGGGTATTCTTTAGATGATGCATAATTTATGCTTCTCCTGAAGCACAATTTCCCCCCAAATTCTACCCCTTTTTGATAAAATATAATCTCAAAGATTATTCTTGGTCACAAAATAAAGCTGGTCTCATTAGACTTGCCTGATTATTTACATAGATGTAGTATTAAGAATGTTAATTTAGGCTGGGATAGTGGCTCAGCGGTAGAGCATTTGCCTCACAGGGGCGGGACCCGGGTTCCATCCTCAGCACCACATAAAAAAAATAAAGACACCTAAAAAATAAATATTTATAAAAAAAAAGAATGTTAATTTATCATGTAGACTCTTACTTTTATATGTATTTTTTTTCTGGTGCTGGGAATTTAATACAAGGGTGCTTAACTACTGAGCCACATCCCCAGCCCTTTTTAAAAATTTATTTAGAGATGGGTCTCACTGAGTAGCTTAGGTCCCCACTAAGTTGCTGAGGCTGGTTTTGAACTTTCAATCCTCTTGCCTCAACCTCCTGAGCTGCTGGTATTATAGGTGTGTGCTACTGCACCCGGCTGTAAATTGCATTTTCATAAATAATCTTAGATTGTTTTTTTTTAACTCTTTATTTTTTGTAGTTGTAGTTAGACACAATAACTTTATTTTATTTATTTATTTGTGGTACTGAGGATTGAACCCAGGGCCTTGCATGTGGGAGGCAAGCGCTCTACCACTGAGCCATAACCTCAGCTGCTTAGATTGGGTTTTTAAAAGCCTCTTCTTGCTAAGCTTAGGATAATAGGAAGCCATGCCCATGAAACTCTTGGCACATATTTTATTAGTATTTGTTCTCAATAGGAACATAATTTTATTATTTTTAATATTTTTATTATAAGTATAGATGATTTTATTCCATATGTTTTAAATTGGGTGCAAAAAATGATATATCAGAAAATTAGGGGAAATGTACCTAGAGTGATTTAATATGTTCTCTTTTCAGATTGAAAATATCAGAAGGAAGCATAATTATCTGCCTTTTATTATGGAATTGTTAAAGACTTTAGCAGAACACCAACAGTTAATACCTCTTGTAGAAAAGGTAAGCATTTTATTGTTGAATACTTAAATTAGATGTATAAATAAAGTATATTTTTTGGCATGAGTGGAGCTAAAATTTCATAAGCATTTTAAATTTACTTGTTTGCTTTTGCCTAGTGTTTTATATTTAATAAAAATTAGTTAAGCCTGTTACTGAAAAATGAAAATAAAAATTGCCCCATTGCTTTTGTCTTCTAGAATTCTTTTTATCTATAACTCAAGTTCTGTCTCATTAAATGAAAATTTAAAATACTAACATTTCTTTGAGCAGAAACAAAATTTTAATATAAATAATTGGAATAACAGATTTTTTTCTACTTATTTTAGCAAAAATTTGAATTGATTTCATAAAGACTTAAAGTTAGAATGGACATTGATGGTAAAACAAATAGTATGGACTAAGTCTTGACTAAGAAATAGATTTTGTTATTTCTAATCTAGTATCTTTTCCACAGAGGGATAACTAACACAAGTGAGTTGAAAATTCTGATTTCTAAGATACTTTTTCCTTCAATATAAGAAGGTGCTTAATAAAATATTTGCAGTGTAAATGAAATGCAATGAATTGTTTTTAAGTATATACTGTAAATCAGCATTTCTGAAAGTGACCATCGCTGGATAATCTTTAAAATACATGTTACCTGGCCCCTCCCCAGATGTTCTGATAAAGGGGAAGGATTCTTTAATAAGTTCCCCAAGTGATTCTAATGCAACTGATCTGTGTACCACATTTTGAGAAATACTGAGAAGATACTACTAGGCAAATAAAATTTTGGACCATTAATATAAAGACCAGATTACGTGGTAGGTATATTTTTCTTATTAATTTTAAATTTTACAAAGTGAAGATACATTTTATCCCAGACGTTTTATAAATTTAAAATAATATGAGATCTGCTTTAATAAGATTTTCATTTTTACCTTATTACCTGAAACATGACTCATCTTTTAGCATTAAATACAAAAATTATTGGAGAAAACTGCTACATCTTCAATTATTTTTTTGTTTTTGTTTTTTAATTTATGTATCTTAGGGTATTCCAAGATGGGAAACTGACTTTTAAAGTTTAAGGTTAACAATTAAGGTCCTGTGGTTATCAAAATTGTTTACAGAGTGCCTAGGCACAGTATTCTTTGTGTGAGACACCATGAAATATTTCTCTGTTAAGAATATTATAGGAAAAAAATATAATGTGGTAAATCATATGATAAGTCAGATTTTAATTTTAAATAAATTTTATTAGGACCTGGACAAATATTAAGTGTATCAGTTTTACCTTAAAGTTGGTCTTTGAGTATAATTTTTATGTGAAGATTAGGAAAAGTTGTGTTTGATTTTTTTTGTTTGTTTGTTTTTGTTTATGACAGTATATCCCCAAGATTTTTTGAGAGCATGAAGAATTGATTTTTAGCTTTTCATTAGAACCTTAATTCCTTAGTTCACATTATTTTGGACACAAGGTGGCAGTATATGAATACCTAATATTACTATGACACCAACTTCTTTTTCCTGTTTGCTTTTTTTTTTTTTTTAAGGAACAGAATTATTGACTTTCTAGTTTGTCTCTTAAATAATACTACATAAGCAATATTGAGATGTGTTTATTTCTTATATACATACAATGTGTCTTTCCTCATTGGTTTTGATTTGGTTGGAATACTTGAAATGTTCATTAAACATTTGTGAAACTATTCACTAAACATTTATCTAGATGCAGCTATATTCTAGGCACTTTGTTAAGGTCTAGGAATCGACACATAAGTATATGCATTCTTTTCTCAACCAGTTTGTGATATAGTTTACAAAAGTAATGAGTAAACAAGTATAGTTTGTTTATGGATTGAATAGTAATATTCCATTTAGGGCCAGAATAAACATCTAAATAACTTTGTAGCTACTCAAAATTTCCCATTCACAAAAATCTTAAATCTGTGGTTGGAATTTACTGCTTAATCTGTACCATTATATCAGGTTCCTTAGCACAAGTATATTTTTGTTCATCATGTTTTGAAAAAATTATTATACCACGTTGAAATATCACTTTTAGCTAGTAAATGCAGATGTTAAATAAAGCAGATTGAAAATCAGAATAGAATTACTCTTAAATTTTATAATTACAGTAAAAAGCTTTTACGGTGTTAGTTATTATTTATGTAAAATTACCCATAGAATTCAGAAATAGATTATTAATTAGAATTGTCCAAGACTAGAGTTTTGATAACTGAGGCATAAAAATGAGCGAACTAAAACCTTTTTATTTTTTCTAGATAGTGAGCAAAAGTTGAATATTTTGAATTCTCTCTTGGTTGTATATCTATTTTGTATATCTATAATGAACTAGGCTAATATCTCATAAATGTTTTTCTTATATGCATTATACAAAACTGCTCAGGAGGTAAAACCAAAGTAACTGTATACTTAACTGTATCATACATCAAACCTGTAACTTAAAATGTAAAATAAGATTAACTAGTTTATGATGCAATTTGTGAAACTTCTACCTGTTCAGGTATACTTTTAGTACTTTTAAAATATTTATCTTAACCTTTATGTGTAATTCTGAATTGTTATCTACCCATACTTATAACAATTACCAATAATCTACCATATTGTGAAATTATGGAGATATAGTTGCTATGGGGATCCAAAGAGACTTCACCATTTTGAAATTTTTTAGGAAAATTCAAGACAGTCTGATTCAGTTGGTAATAAGTAACTGACCTTCAGAACTTTCTTTTTTCTATCCTCAAATTAAAATAAAGTACAAATGTAGTTAATCACAATACTATTTACATTAATATTTATGATTATAGAATTATATGACTCAGGTCAATAATATTTTATATCTCCTTGGCACACTGTGTAAAAGGAAATTATTTTTAACTGTGTATTTCTTCCATGCTATTTTAGAAATAGCATAGTATTTTTTAGCAAGGGCAGAACATAATATAGGCCTTGAATTTATTCTCAGCTATACTGTCTTTTTTATGGATATGATACATTTTAGCTGGAGCTTTTAAGCAAGTTATTTACTTTTCTGTAGCTTCTATTTCTCATCTATAATTTGAGAATCATATCTCTTGCATATGCTTGAGGATTAAGTAAGACCCTATCTGTGAAATATGCAGTAAGCACTCAATTAATGATACTCAATAATGTTAATTGTTTTTAACTTATTTTTATGTACTCCTTAATTTATCTGAATTATATAATTTAATATATGGACACTCTGCATTACATTTGTTTGCCCATTTAATTATATTGTAAAGTTTATATGATAAATTAGTAAATTTACTTATTCTAAACATTCTGTAAGTATGTTCAGAGATAAATAGAAAAGAAGCACATATTTTTATTTCAAATTATAACAAAATCAAATTGTATTTTTATTATTTGAAAATAGAAAACTTTGCGTGGGATATGGTATAAATAACAGATTATGCTTGTTAATGAAAAAATGTTGATGTAGGCTACTAATTTTTTAATTTCTGTATGGTATATATAGCCTATTTTCTAGGTCATAGCACTCAAATTTATCATAGTTCTGATAATAATTACTACCTAATCCATCATTAGAAAGGCAATTTTTCTAGTTAGTCTGTTTTTAAAAATAATATAGCAGGAAAGGTCTGATATATTGGTTCCTTTCCAAAGACCAGCAGAATTGACATCACCTAAAAGTCTGTTAGAAACTTCAGGCATTTTCATTGGTATGTATATTGAAAAGCATTGCTATAGAATACTTATCTGACCTTTATTTTACTATATATTGTGTGACTTTGGTCAAGTTTGATCACCTGTGAGCACTGGCTTCTTCATCTGCTAAGGAATAAAATAGAGTTGTCTTCAAGCTATGTAACTGTTATGAAGATCAAGTAATGTGTGAAAACATTTTTGAGGTCATGTAAGTGAGGCTCACTGACATCAGACGGTATTCCTTTTAGTATGATTTATAGATAAAACAAAAATTGTAATTCTTTATTGGCCTTTTTTTACTCACTTTTAACTTTTATGCCAATTCTGCTTTAACTTTTATGTTGAAGTTATTTATTCAAATATGCAGAAAGCAACATAGGATTTTTTTTAATGCTAAATTTGAGTAAGAAATGAACTGTTTTTAAATCCTTATGACTGAGTTTGACTCTGTGGATTGAATAACTTGTATTGATTACAATTTAATAATACATTTCAACTTCAGATGAGAAAGAACTGGGAGCCAAACATAATCCTTCCTTCCTTTTCTTTTTTTGTAGTACTAGAAATTGAACCCGAGTTCTTGTGTATGCTAGGCAAGGACTACCACTGAGCTACATCACCAGCTTTTTTTTATTGAGGGCAAATAATGACTATATAATTTTCCAGAACTAATTTGTTGCAAGTTTCAAGTTATATAATGCTCTAGAAATATTTTTTTTTTTGTTTGTTTGTTTGTAGACAAGGTCTTGTTGTATTGCCCAAACTGATCTCAAACTTCTTGTCTCAATCTGTCCTCCTGAGTAGCTGGGACTATAGGTTCACGCTGCTGCACCAGCTCTAGAAACCCTGTGAACAGTGCATTTTTATTCCTTGTAGCTTGAGAGTACCCTCTTAAGCACATTTTATTTTAGTACAATCTAAAGCAGACCTAGAAGATTTTGTAATATACTATTTTTAATTTTTAGGCAAAAGAAAAACAGAATGCAAAGAAAGCTCAGGAAACCAAATGAAGAGGATGCTTTGGGATGTGTACACATATCTGCTTCTACACTTATTTTCATGGCACCATTAAGTATAAGGAACTTTGAGCAACATCCTAATTGACTCAATGCACGTTTGGCAATAGTACCAGTCTGTCTTGTCTTTAATGCATGGATTAATAAACTTTTCCCCTACCTGCATCATGTGCATGCAGTGCATATTAAATAAAAATAATACTGAGAGTGCTTGCCCAAATTCCGTTTTTTTGACATTGGATCTGAGAACTCTTATTGGTATTCTGGATTTATAACTACAGTATGAACCTAGAAAATGCACAAATGATATTCTTTACCTGTAATTATTCTGATTAATCTTTTTATTTTTTTTAGCTTAAATACTTTTGATTTTTAAATGTCAAATCTTAACTGAAATCTTCTGTTTCTTCTTATCATTAATGGAAAAAATCAATATTTCTGTCTTTGACATGTGTTTTGAGAATCTTAAAACTAAAAATTTCCTCTTATACCACTTATTTGATTTTAATGCAGATCATTTGAAAAGAGCAGAAGTAAAATTTTTAGTAATTTTCATTGCTGCCAATAGAAAAGGTAATAAGCATTGCAATTTTATTTTAACAAACTTTCTTCAAGTGTTTGGGGTTACTTTTTAAACCATAGAATTATTGTAGGAAGATCTGAATATTATGTCTCAAAACAAAATTTCAAGTTAAGGACAAATTGTAATTCTTAAAGAGTTTTGGTATTATTACCAATTTGGCAACCTTTTCAAGTTGTTAAGGTGAGTTTTTATGGAAAATTTGAGGTTTGACAATTCAGGTAATCTGCTTTAAAAAAAGATGACAGTGGTGATAGAGGATCCTGTGTGCCAATTTGATTAAAATTAGTATAGCTCAGTTTCCAAGAGCCATGTAATGTACAATTTGCTCACAATGATTTTTTTTGGTGGGGGGAGTTGTTTTCATTTTTATTTTATAAAGTACTACTGAACTGTATTCTCGCTTGTAATTTTCTTTTTCAAGTAAACTCTAAATGAAATTTTATAAAACTTCTTTTTATAAAGGAAATAACCCACTTTTTTCTTTAGCAAGCACATTTTTGAAATTGATATGTGACTTTTAAACATTTTATTATTTATTGTAAAATAAATTTAACATAATTTATTTTATTAGGTGGAATGTGTACCTATCATCCAGCTTCAACACATGAATTTTTTATGATTGTTTTAAAGCTTACTAATTGTGGTATTATTAAATGACTTAGAACTAATGCAGGGGAGACCTGTGGTAAAATTGAGTAGAAAAATTAATGAAATATTTTTCATATATAATTTCAGTTGAAGGTACTAAAAAATATTTAGTTTTTCAGTTATTTGTGAGTAAATATATTTTGCTCTTGATATGGTAGTAATTATGGAGTGTTTTAAAGCTGTGATACAATTTTAAAAAATGGTTTTCTAAGGATGTTCTTAGGCTCATCTCAATCTCATTCATTTATTTCAATTTAATTTCTATATTTTATTTTATTGAGGCTTAAATTTTGTAAAGCAATGCCAGGATTATTGTAAAAAGTAGTATCAGTAATCAGATAAATCAATGGAATAAAAGACAGGACCTAAAAATATTAATTTTTATCTGATCACTTGATTTTTACAAAGGTGTCAAATAATCAAACAGGAAAGGAGAGTCTTCATCAATTGTAGGTAGGATAGTAGAGCTGAACATCCACTGAAGAAAAAAGGAATCAAGAGTTCCCTATCTCACAAAAAATTATTTGAGCTGAATCATAGATGTTTTCGTAATAGCTAAAAAATATAAGTCTTTTTTTCCCAGAAAACATTGGTGAATATCTTTGTGACTTGAGAGTAGCCAAAGGTTTCTCGGGTCATAGAACACATTAACCATAAAAGATCCAGGATTAGGTGTCATCAAAATTAAAAACTTGTCATTGAAAGACACCTTTAGCAAGAGTAGCTTGCATAGAATGACATCTTTAAAAGAGCTTTATAAATTTAGGTTATAGGTATAAGGATTTCTTAAAAAATTTAATTTCTTATAAAAGTCCATGATAGGATTTTCCATAGTTTAGGAATGGTTTATCTGCTGCTTCTTTAATGATTGCAAATGCATTGTGACACTTCATGTTTTTTTTTTTTTTTCTTGCTTGTGAATAAAGAAGTATGATTTGTCCTTGTCTTGGTCCTATATATCGCTGTTTTGAAACTAAATCTGGAAGCTAATGAGTAGAGAAAGTGGAGGAATAAAGAGCAATCCAGAAAAAGATAAGTATTAGTTAAGTGGATTTTGTTTTGGGGGAGTAGATTTTTAAAGAACATCATCTATTCATCTATCATTTCACTTTTGTATTTTCTAAAAATTTTCTCATTTGACTGGGTAAATGAAGGCACTTCTATTTTATGCTTTTTTTTTTTTTTTTTTTACAAAGCTTGCCAATTCTTAGGGATGTACTTCTGCTGTTATAAACAAAGAAAACTTGCCAACAGCTGTAGCACAGTCTAGTCTCACCTCATATGTTTAGTTCTCAAGATAGCTGCCCTTTTTCTAGCAAAGAACAGTCAGCTCAACTGTGTTACTAGAAAAACAAATATTTGTTATGGGATCATGACTGTAGGGAGTTGCTCCTCTGTTTAGGACCATGATTATGAGTATTATGGTGCTACATGGAGATTACTACCTTTAATCCACCTAATCCACCTAGTTGCTTATAATATTTCAGGATACATGACTCTCCTCCCGCCCCCAGAAGGATATTAGTTCTTTTGCTTTAAAAAAAAAATGTACTGGGAATTGAACCCAGAGCTGCTCTATCCCTGAGTTACATCCTCAGTCCTTTTTACTGTTTGAGACACAGGGTCTTGCTAAATTGTTGAGGCTGGCATTGAACTTGTGATTCTTCTGATTCGGCCTCCCAAGTTGCTGGAATTACAGGTGTGTGCCACTGCACTGAGCAAAAAAAGCTTTTAAGGTATTTCTCCCCTGAAAAAATTTAGAGAAAGCAAAGAAGCAAAAATTTACATTACCCACAGTTATAACAATAGGGATGACCACAAGAACGTTTTATTGTATTTAATGATCCCTTTTCTCTATGTGTATACGGACATTTTCATATTAGTTTTGCAAGTCCTCCCTAATACTCTGCATTAGGTTTATATCATATATGTTATTTTTAAACTTGATATGAAATTTTTATTTTTATATCAATGATAACTCATAGGATGCAAACTATTTGAAAGGGAATTAGGATTAATTTTGGGAATTTTGAAACTACCTACTAGTTTCTTGTAAAGTCACTCGTGGGCTCAAGCATGAGTCTCCAGAAATGACTCCTAGCAAAGCATATAGTACTGATCTTCTAACAAGAGAACTCCTACCTCTGCAGCAGTTAAGGAGTCTCTACTATTGGAGTTGGTGAAATTAGAGCATGTTGTAGTAATTGTGTTCCAGGACAGGGAAACCTACAGTAATTATCTGTTAATACTTCAGGAACATATACTGGAATGAAGAATAATTCAACTTCTCCATGACTAAACATACCACTTGAAAATGGCTGAGGCAGTGGGCTGGGGATGTGGCTCAAGCGGTAGCGCGCTCGCCTGGCATGCGTGTGGTCCGGGTTCGATCCTCAGCACCACATACAAACAAAGATGTTGTGTGCACCGAAAACTAAAAAATAAATATTAAAATTAAAATAAAAAGAAAATGGCTGAAGCAGTGGTCAGATAATTTCTGTTGTACTCTTGCCTTTCAAATCTTGCATGAGCTTTTCTATAAGCATTTCTAGGAAATTGAGGTTTTAGCTTTCTAGTCTATACAGCATAGGAACATATTAGGAAGGAAGTTGAAATGGATGTTGACAATCACACATTTTTACACTTTTCTACACTGAAACATTTTTCCTGCTTGCATAAATAATATCTTTCTTTTAGAGAAATGAAAATACAAGCAGAAAAAATAAAAATCTAATCCCATTCATTAGAGAGAGAGTCATGGTTAATGTTTTGAAGTATCTAAGAATATGTACATTTACAATTGTGTGTATATACATATATATATGTAGAAATTTTCTTTTATAAAATGGGATCATACAATTAAACATTTGTTCTATGCTTTTTTCCATAAACTTCACATCGATAATGGGCTTACATCTTTTTTTTTTTAGTTATCCCTTAGTATTCCATTAAATAGATACACTTTAATGTATTTCACAAGCTCCATAGTTAACAAGCTCCACAATAAAGAACAAAGTATAATAATAAAATGGACAAACTGGATAGCTTGATTTTTTAGGGTAAGATTTTATTGAAAGTCAATTCCTAGAACAGTCAAGGATACATGTTATTTAATTTGTTCATGGTCTTAATCTTTACTGGCCTAAATCTAGTGACTGACAGTAAAATTTCACCACTTCTAGCATACTGGGTACCTTTTATTTTTAACTTGATTATACTAATTCTTAACTTTTCAGTAATTTTCAACCTGTATCTGAGTTGTTCTAGATGCTGAAAATATAGTGGTGAAAAAGATAAATTCCTGCCCTCATGGTGAAATGAATATACAAGTGTGTGAATGTTATTTTTCTAGTAGTTAGGGAGAACTGTAAAAAATAGAGAGTTGAGGTTTGATAGGATGGTCATGGAAAGTCAGCCCGTTTAAGGAGAGGATATTTAAGCAGAACCTAAATGAAGAGAATTTCCTGCTCAAGTACTGAACCAGCACTATGAAAGTGGATTGCATGCCGGCAAAACCAAGTTTAATAATTTAGGATGCTAATTTGCAATAATGTTTAATAGTTAAAAGATTTATGAAAGTTAATATAGGGTGTTAATATGAAAATAGGTTGAACAAAAATATATAAAAAAGACTAGGACCACTGATCTATGTGCCTTTTAGACTATTGATGTTCTATGAAACACACTTCTTTGGCTCTTTCTTGTAGCCATAATATAGTATTGACTAAACCACAAATTCATTGGGAGGAAATCTCATGTAAATTTTTTTTTGGTTGGTTTTAAGAAAATTTTTTGTTTTATTTTATTTGGTGGTATTAGCATTTGAATCAGGGCCTCAAACATGCTAGGTTAGTGCTCTACTACTACATCCTCAGCCCACAGTTTTGTTTCTAAAAATATTTTCAACCCTGCTCCTTTATAATAAAGTTGTAAACATGAAATTAAAACTGAAATTACTAGAAACAATATGGCTTAGTATTTTATTATTGAGAATAGAAACAAAACTTCCTAAGCAAAAAGTAAAGTAATAAAAACAGAAGAGAAACAGTTGAATATATAAAACTAAAAGATTTCTGTACAGCAATAGATGCCAGAAACTCTTAAAAGACAATAATCCAACCAATAAAATTATCATATATCATGAAATATATCAGAAATATAGTTAACATATACTGAGTACCCCTATCAAAAATGGAATGGAGGGAGCAGGAGAAGCACTCAGGAGAAAAATTGGCAAGCTGTAGGAACAGAAAATTCAGAGAAGAAATTAAAATGACTAGTAACACAAAATATGGTAAATCCCACTAGTCATCAAGAAGATGCAGAATAATAAAGGAATTTCTTTCATTTCTGTTTTCCCCTACCTCCTTTCCTCCTTTTTCTCTCTGGCCATCTTTCTCCCCTCTCTCTCTTCCCTCCTTCTTTCGAAGCATCTCATGATGCTCATCATTCTTATATACCTCCTTTACATATTTCCACCATTCTTCTAATTAGAATGATTTTTAGAGGTGAAAGTTGTATTATAGACAAAATTGTACTGTGGAGGTGCTTGTGTGAAAAAATTATCTCTGGATTTATCAGAAGCTTTGTAGGAGACATTAATGACCTTTGCTGAGTTATTAAGGAATGCATAGAGTAAGTGGTAACCATGAGCTCTGGGATTCAGTGGCTCCCTGAGGGCTGGTAATTATCATTTCAATTAGAGGCTATCTATTGTATCCAGGTTATGCTTCCCAGGCAGTGTCTCCTAGTGAGGTTACCAGGGTCCAAGATGTGTCCTTTCAGCTTACGATTTGAGCATAGTCATTGAAGGTGATAAGGACTTTGGATTGTTAAGCCAACTTAATAAAACTTGCAGGAGACTAATGTACACCTGGAAATACAACTTCTTCTTTTATTTTACTATTATCACTTCCAGCTGACCAGACATTCATATCACCCTATCAATACATTCTCTCTCTAGCAGATAAACTTACCAAGGAAACCAGAGTAAGACCAGAAGATTGGTTGACTACAGAATTGTTGCTAAGGAAATTTTTTAAATAGATACTGGCTGTGATAGATAGCCTGTGATATGTTTTGCCATACTAGACAAATCTTTCTCCATTACATACCAACTTGTTCAAAATGTTAACCATCCTTTCTCACATTACTAGGGACAGAATGACAAAAACTTAAACTCCATTATTATCACTTTTTAAAATTTTGTTTTACTTAGTTACACATGACAGTACAATGACCTTGACATATCATACATTTGAATCAGATGGGATATAATTTCTCATTTTTCTGAGTGTACAGGTTGCAGAATCATATTGGTCATGCAGTCACATATATACATACAGTAATAATAATGTCTGTTTCATTCTACTATCCTTCCTATCCCTCCATCCCCTCCCTTTTTGGTTGACATTTTCCGGCTCTCTTTCTCATATCAACAAATGTTTTCAAATGTGATGTAATTTAAATTTTTGCTTATTTGTTTCTAATTTTATACTAATCTGCTGTTCTATTGACATTTGGAGAGGCTCCTTAGTTTAATTTTTGAAACTCCAGATAGGAGTACTATTTCCTATAACCTATGTAACATTCATGTATGAAGAATTAGTGTTTCTGTTCTAATGTTGCCAATGTGAGCTTTCCTAATAACTTCTATCTAATTTATTAACTTGGAATGCTCTGCATACTTATAATAGTGGTAAGCTTTTCTCTTAAAGAATACAGAATTGCTATTGGAGTGGCATTGCAAATACAGTGAACATCTTGGGTGATGCAGTTCCTTTATTTGGATTTTAGGCAGAAATTTACTTGAATTAACATTTGCAATTAAAGAAAAAAATTCCCAATGATATGCCAACTTAAGTATTCTCCTTACATTTTCCACAAATAACGTGGCCACACTGCTCTCGTTATATGAACTATACTTTGTTGCCAACTTTATTGAAGTTAGTCAGCACAACTTCACAGTTAAAACACTGAATTCTGTGCTTACTACTTTATTTTCAAATTGTAACTCTGTATTGCAGTATGGAGACTATTGGGATTAGATTTAGGAGATTTATAATTCTAGTCCTGCTATGCTATTTATTGTATGATCTTGGCCTGTATTTTGTTATCTGCTGAAATGTACTTTGTCCTTTGTTATAAATTTCACATAGTGCTTATAGAGCAAACATGGCTTTTGCATCTGTTTATATTATTAAACTGTAAAACAAATATGACCAAATTAAAGCTTCATTGTATTAGATACAAAAACACTCTTCTGGGCCTATCTTGTTTTTTTATGGTTGGGTCCATATAGAAGATTTCAGGCTTGTTAAACGTTTAAACTTCAAACACACTGACATTTGAAGTTTAGAAAAATTTAGTCTTGTTTAGTAAGCTATTATCCCTGTACTTTAATATTCTGTTTTCTCTCCACTTATAAATGTAATTATTGTCTTGAAGCAATCCTTTTGTTTTTGCTAATTTTAACCTGTAAGAGTATATGCTAGTATAAGCAATTTGTATTCTGACAAAACATCTCCAGTTGGTATCTAGTCATTTGTATGCACAATCGTTATAACTTCTTTCCAAATGTACATACCAGAAAAAAACACCTTTTTGGGAGATATGTCTTTTCATAAATGTAGACAATTCTTGGGCCTAGTGATAAAATTACCATTTCAATGTTTTTGAATTAGGTATATGAGTATTAGTTAATGTCAATCATACCAGAAGCCTTGTTATGAATACCACAAGAATCCCTTTATTATAATAAGACTGCTTGATCATCTTCTTGTTCATTAACTAATTCATTCAAACAAAAGGTATTTATCTCCTCTGAGTCAGGGTTAATTCTATGTATGAGAAGACATGTCTTCCTTTGTCTCCTGCTTTCTGAACTACTCTGCATGCTTGAACTGGGCTTTAACTTTGTAGCATTATGATGCTCACAGGTGTACTTCAAGTGTTAATGTTTTAACACTGATGGGTTAAAAAAGTGTAACATAGGACTAATTTATCCCCACGAATATTGATGTTATTTGAACAGATGCTTATGAGAATCAACTTCCACTTGAGGCATCCATTTATTCCTATATTTATGGTCAAAGTGTAAACATTTCTGTCAACTTTTATCTTTCAGGTTCAGTAACAATTTATTTGGGTAGAGGGGAAAAGCATAAGGTGAGAAGAAAGAACCAGAGGTATTAGCTGGATTTCACTTAGTTTCAAGATAGACATTGAGTAGCCATTGTAACTTCCTATATTTCATTAGCATTTGGGGCTAATGAAGTGCTTCCCATAAGTTTGGGAATTAAGAAAGTAAGACTGCATTTTAAAAGGTAGATTGTTAAGGTCAAAACATAGATCACACATCAATAAACAAAGTCACTAGGAAGAAACAGACTGCTCCCAGGCAACTTGGATTGACCACAACTCAGAGATCACTGGGCAGGTTAGATAAAGGAGTGCAGTTGACCAGGCAGTGGTAAACTGAATGAGATGATATTCTTTACTCCATTTTTCTTGAAAGGTGGACACCTGTTTAATTTTCTGTTTTCCTTCTCTGAGAGCTAGAACAACAGAATTTTATTTTTTCCTCAGGTTTATTATTGGGGGCAAAAACAAAACATAAAAGTAAATAATTGCAATGGACACTTGGCCAGAGTGGCAGAGACTATGGTGAACAGAACGCATACCCTGTCAAAAGGGGGCTGTCATTCCTCAGCTGTAGCTGGTTGTTGCCAGGTGAAATACAGGCCCAATATTGTCAGAAGACAAAAAATCTGAATTTATCAAAGTTTCCCAATTTGTAAACATTGACTTCAGTTTCCTTAAAACACTTTAGTTCAAACTAAAAATATGACTGAATTTGATCCTATCTCTACTTTGTAATATCTGCTATGACATAATTGGATATGTTAATATTTTATTATTTTATGAACATACCTGAAGCAAGTAGGAATTATTTAAAAAGTAATGGCCGATATAGAAATACAGTTATAATAGAGTCTTCGTATCTATTGAGGTGCATCTAGAGGAATAATATTACCCATTAATTCTTGGCTTTTTCTGATCTTAACACCATCTCAACAATTTCAGCAATTCCAATCTGGTCTCAGTTCTAATGTTAAGTCCACCTTAACCCATTGGTCCTGCTATTGTATACATTTTTCTGTGCATATTTACTTGAATTTCTGGGCATTACAGTGATAAAAACAACAGACAAGATTTGTCTTCTTGGAATTTACCATCTAATAAACTAGGTGAGGTTTAAATTAGATGGTTAAAATATACATCATTACAAACCATTGTAAGTTTATGAAATAAAGAGTTCAGTGAGATCATAAAAAAGGTGCAGCCCTATCTGTAGGACAATTTGAGCTAAAATATGAAAGATGGGTGGGAGTTACATAGATGAAGCCTTGGAGTTGGGTTGGGGAAGGGTATTCCAGGCCAAAGGAAGTAGACATGTCTTAGAAATGTTAAAAAGGCCAATCTGATTGGGATGCACAAAACAAAATACACGTGTTGAGTTGAAGACAGACAGTAGCCAGATTATACAGGTTTTTGTGAATCATACCAAGGATTTTGGTTTTTATTCCAAGATCAGTAGAAGTCATTAAAGGGGCTTAAGCATTTTTATGAGATCACCATTGCTATAATAGAACTGATAAGAAGGTTAACATGGATATGGATGGAGTGGACTAATAAATCAGTAAACTCATTATGCTCTTTATACTTGTTGATGCACCATAAGTCTCCACAAATCCCCTGGTCATCTCTTGTCCCCTTTCTCTAATTGCTTTTAGACTCTGTTCTTTGCCACCTCTTTGGTTCTAGTAACTCTTCCACAGTGTTAATTTATGGCCTGAGTTCTTAACCTAGATTTTAAACATTTTTTCACCTTCTTCTTTTTTTTTTTTTTTTTTTAGGGATGAGAGAGAGAGAGAGAGAGAGAGAATTGGTAAAATTTTCTTCAGTATACAAAAGTCTAACAT